ATGTCATAAAACTTCGGAGAATAGAATGATTTGTTTTCATCCCTTGAGAAACGAATTTGATGGCAGCCATCCGCCACCAGCTCCTCGCAAAGACCCAAAATCGGCAGACGAACCGCCCTTCCGGCAGCTTCCATGCCCATTCTGATATGCTTCAATCGCCACCATAGTTCTTCCAACCCTCGTGACATCTATGCTATGTTAACGAGTACGTTCGCTGGGCCACATAGCTCAAACTCAGTTCCCTGAGCCTGATATCTTGCAATTTATTACTCTGTGGATTTACTAACCGAATGTTTGTTGGTTTGTTTGTTTGTTTGCTTGTTTGTTTATTCCCTTCGAGCTCAGCTGGGAGTTTTTTGTCTAATCTCTGGGGCTCTGAACTTGTATCCACTCCAGCGGCATATATAAGAGGCCATCGCTGAATACGCTGAGCATTGCTGAAGGACCTCTTCGACTGATCAAGTGAGTTATTTCGGCATGTCAGTGGCTTGAGGCAATATTTCCTTTCTCTCCTTGGAAGAAAGCATCCATCAATATTCTAATTGGGTGGGCGAATTTCACTGGATAGAAGGAAACCAACTGAAGCATTAATGAACTCATTCCAACTTGAAGGTGGCTGTCAAGAGCCATCGATGCAAGTTCTTTCTCCTCAAGATTTTGACTGTTCCTGAACCACTTTCTAATTTCGTAGGAAAAATGCTGTTCAAATGTTTTTTTTTTGTAACTTTGTTAAATTTGTATGCTGCCAGTCGTAAAACTCTTCCCCATCTAGGACCTTCCTTTTTACTTCAGAACATCGCCGGTTCAACTTCAGACATCCTCTAAAGACCACTATAATTAAATTTCGCAGTCGATAACTTCTTAAAACAAAGCAGTTTGGAGTTTGTAAAAGGAAAAAGAATCGATTACGGGATTCGATTACAGATAACGACTTCTTTGAGGCAAAGCAATTTCACGTTCTGTTGTTGTTTCCAGTTGAGCCAAGTAAATCTGATACCAACTGGCAGAAGACCCACCCTCCAAAGAAAGCGCAGATTCTGGTTTGGCCCATTGCCATATATTAATATGAAGCAATAAAGGGGCTTAAGCGAGCTTATGTTTTGCTGGCCAAGCAGCATGAAGAACAGAATTTTCGCAGTCCCGGGCATGCTACTTAGGATTGCAGGATGGATGGATAGAATGCATAAGGATTAAACTAAACAGCAACCACTACGGATTGCTCCCA